GCCAGTCTGAAAGGTGCAGAACTTAATATGTAACACAAGCAAGGTGACTGGGGATACAAACATCATAAAGTCACCCCAGGACACTTACTAAAATGGAGAATGGAAGTTATAATCAGGAGGGGTGAGCTACAACAGAAGGAGGGAAACTTGTGGTACCCTCTTACTTATTGTGGTCATTAGTGAAGGAAGAACATGAGAAAAAAATACTGGGGAACAGATGCCCTGTATAATCATCTGAAAGATAGGATCATGGCCAGAAAATTGCAGGGCACAGTAATGCAAGCAGCTTGCCAGTGTGATCTATGCCCCCCAACTAATTCTAAAAATACTCCAAAGCCTTAAGTTGGACAAACTGGGAAAGGTTGTGGACCTGAGCTGCAATGGCAAATTGATTTTACAGAATTATCCAGGAAAGGGAGGGGTATCGATACCTATTGGTGTTAACAGATGCCTTTTCAGGATGGCCAGAAGCCTTCCCTACCAGGACAGATAAGGCACAAGAGGTAACCAAAGCACTGCTACAAGAAATAATATTGTGCTTTGGGGTCCCAGCCACCATATCTTCAGACAGAGAGCCACACTTTATTTCCAAAATTGTGCAGCAAATTAGCCAGCACCTGGGTATAGACTGGGAATTGCATACTCCATATTATCCTCAGTCACGTGGCCAGGAAAAGATGAGCCATTTGATCAAACAACAAATTATAAGATTGGGACAAGAAGCAAATTTGCCTTGGCCCCAGGCTCTCCCACTGGCATTAGTGCAAATTCGGACAAAACCAAGGGCAAAAGAGAAATTAAGCCCTACTGAAATACTGCATGGGAGGCCATATGCAGTCCAAGAGGGAACAACACCCATTCAGGTAGGGGAAGAAACCCTACACATATATATGGCAGCCCTGAATAAACAACTCAGATAAATTGAAAAATATGTGGCTGGGGCTCAAAACAGGGAGTTAGATGGGCCAGTACATGATGTACAACCTGGGGATAATGTATATGTTAAATCTTTTGCAGAGAAGACTCTGGAACCGCAGTGGGAAGGACCATTCCAGGTGCTCCTCACTACCTTCACTGCAATCAAGATTAAAGTACAGAAGGCTTGGATCTGTCACTCCTGAGTGAAGAAGGCTCCTGAAGGAGTTCGGAGAATCATGCCAGGTGACGAGGGACTGAAACTTACCTGGAAATGTGAATAATGAACTTAGAGTTATCATGGGCAATCAAGTAGGCAGGATGTGGAAGATCATGACTTCTGTAATCACTGCTACAGCTATAACAGGAGTTAAAGCAACATCACACATATATGATGAAATTGGGATATGCACATGCCAAGGGAAAGCTTATGATCCCTACTCTCGTAGGGCTTTGAGCACCATGTTAAGGGTTACAAATGTGAGTATGTGGGAAAGGAAAAATGTTTGGGGATGTGAGCATCAAGAAAGGCTGTGATGACCCAGGTCCCAATGATTTCAGAAAAAGAGGAACAGTTTATGACTCCCACCATCACTAAAATTGGGTCATATGCTATTAAGAAAACAGGGATTCAGAGGCTATTGATTGATCTGGAATGGTCTCTGAAACGAGTTGAAATGGGAATGCAGGTAAATGCCCCTGCCATTCATCCAGAATGCACTCCATTTCTCAGAAATTCTTCTATGGATTGGACCACTTGGCTTCAAAAACGTATGCCCTCTAATTTTAGGAAAAAGAGAGATTTTACTGGGTTATTAGGAACAGGATTGGGAGTCCTGAATACAATGGATTCAGAAGTGTTAATGAACAAATTACCACAATCAGGAGTGATTTGGTTATATTACAGAAACCTTTGCAATCCTCCTTGTTGGCATTGGGTAACAATCACTGGAAATTATCCAAAACATTACCAGAATGGGAAAGCACAAAAGAGGGAGATCATGAAGTGATGGTTAATGAGTTAAGTACAGCTAGTGAAAACATTTTTTGGCTCTTGGGTGTATTCGAGCACAGCTGTGGATGCAGTCAGTGGCTGCCTCAGTCACTAGGGAGGGTGAAGAAGGAACATTCCCTGCTGAGATTTGCAGAATTGTGCTGGGGTTAATGCCTCTGATATGGAAAGAGAGCTTTAGTGTTGGTGGGTTTTAGTCAGTTTCACCTATGACCCTGTGGCAAGTATGGTGACAGCCTTTGTTTTAACCATACACAATGCAGCAGTGAGCCTGATACATCCAGTAGTTGCTTTAGGAGTAAATCATGAGGGGACCTTATTGTATCCATCTGAGCACAGAATGTGGGCATGGGAAATTGAAGGAAAATGGCAAACTATTAAACTAGAACCCTGTTCTATGAAGAAACAATTCACATATGCGATATATATGCATATATATGGGATACATATGCGAAGGAAATTTAGAAGGCAATAAGGATATTTATTTGGACCAAAGCATTTGTTACTTTGAAAATGCATTCAGTCAACCAGACAACCTCACTTGTGTATACAGGACAAGGTTGTGTCTGTCTCAGGACAGCATGCCCAATCATAATGATAGACAACATAATTGTGAATGAAACTCAGTTTAATTTGTGTGTTTGTAATTCTGTCAAAATTGAAGGATGCAACTTCTCCTATCAGGCACCTGTAATATCCCATCAGCACATAAAGGCAAACTTAATTATTGTGCAGGAAATATTGCCTGTGCCTATAGGGGTGAATCTGACATTAGTCACTCAGTTATTGAAACATCATGAATTAAGAGAAATTTTAAAAGAAATTAAAGATGCAGGGAAAAAAGACTTTGATCACAATACATCATGACACAGAAACCATCAAAAGGGTTTTTAAATTATTTGAAGAATCTTTGTCTTATCATTGGTGGGATGTGCTTTTCAGGTGGTCACCAATGGCAAGTGGTACACTTAATGCTTTGATCCACCCTATTATTGTGCTACTCATTTTAGTAGGCATAAGTTTGATTTTGTCTATTGTAATACTTGTTTTCAATTGGAGAATGTTATGATGAGTGGCAACTTTAGCATCACTATCAAAAGTGTATGGTTTGATCTTGAGAGATACCAGCTTATGGCCTGGATAGATGAGGAATAATCTGCATACTGAGTTAAAGAATTTACTAATCTTAAAGAACAGCTGGGGAATGAGTCATGAATTTTAAAAGAATTAAGAATTTTAGAAAAATTAAAGCTTCCAACTAGAGATAGACTTTGCTGGAACTGATTAGAGTTAATGATTAGGATAGAAGCAGGATTTGAGATAATGAATCCCAGGTTTAGATAACAAATTACTTGTCATTGCATGTTTGTTTAGCTCTGCTTATAATGAGAAATGGAGGAACTGATAAATAGGCCCAGGAAGAACACAGACCTCATAGCCAGAAACTTATTTAAAAGTCACAAAGGGAGGAAACTGGAGTTCCCCCAAGTGTCATTTGTAATGTCAACCATTGTAAAAGTAGAAAGGTCAGAGTGAGGAAGAATGGTTTTCCTTCATCTTTTACGACCACTCCTCACTAAAAATGATCACCCCCCCAATTCAGGGAACTGACCATGCAGGTGTAATGGCCTTTTAAACTCATTACCATGTATTTTAATCGGAAGCAGGGAATGGGAGGTGTTAGTGTTATGAATATATATTAGTATTTTGTGTATTCAAGACTTGTAAATAAATAGACACTGGAATCTTTTGTGAATTTGCAGTGCATCTTAGGGGACTACCCCATGCAATTGCCCATTGTGTGCCAATGAAACATACACTTTCTAACTTTAAATTGTTTGAGAGTCTTTTTTCAGTCAACAGATTGATACTAGATTAATATCAATATTTGGTAAATCAACACCACACAAAAGCTGATCTACAATAATAGTTCAGACAGGTGGCGATTTTTGAATATTTTTGTGCTGTACATTGGGTCAAAAAAAATGTGCCAAAGGAGCATCGGTTATTTATGGCAGTGGGGAATTAGGGCTGGTGTTCCACACAGAATGCTTACTTTTATTTCAGCTTCGTTTTCCCTTGAAAAATGAAATCCAATTTTCATATAGACTCTACTAATGTAGTGTTAAATACTTGCAGAACAGAGGGCACAGCACAGAGCAAGGAATTTTGGTCAAGTGGCAACTTGAGTGCATTGGGAAGGTAATGGATTTGCCGGTATATTGCATGGTAACATTTTCATCAACTAAAAGGATGCCTTACCCTGAAAACTGATTCCAGTGCAACTCCTCTGATAAATTCTGCAGAACAGAAAGTGTGTGGGATGCTGAAGTGGAGGGAAATTCCCTGTTATTTTGGAAGTGAGAGAGCTGAAAGAGTGCGAAGACGAGGTACAAGGGGATGCCTGTAGGAGTACACGATACTTCAAATGAAAGCAGGCAAAAGCTGGATATTTTGAAGGATGTAGTTTTAATCTTTGTGAGTGTTTTGAGCTGGGAGCAAGGGAAAGAAGAAAATCTGGATTCTATTGTTGGGGAAAGGTGTTTGCTGAGCAAAGTATCGGCTCCATCCACAGGGGCAGTGGGGGAATGCAACAAGGAACATAGGGGATCCTTCTGGTGCATTTTGGAGGGAAACCAGGAAAATCACAGCATAATGTTTTCCTTCTGCTCTATGAATAGCCACATTGTCTCACCTGAGAGTTTAAAAGGCATTTTATTCCATGCTGTCACTCGTTGCTTTTCTCTGTGCTGCTTTTTAAAGGCACCTCTCAGGAACAATTGTTGGGGGTTTTTTTGCTGTAGTGGACAGACCCTGCCCAGGATACCTGGTCCTTCAGGCTGAGATCTTACTTGGAACTAAGTAATGGAGGTAAATCATCACTATCAATTCTCACTAAAATGGAATTCAACAGAGTAAAATTAAGCCTGAATATCAATTTTGTACTTGGATTTAAAGATATGGATTGCTGATCATGACATCTCTACATCTTCTCAAAAATTGCTAAGTGTCACTGAAGTACTTCAGGCTATTTGCTTGTAAGCAAGATTCATTTTTGGCAATTTATTCTTACCTCATGTTTATTCTCCAACTGCAGCTGTTATTCCCAGCAGAAAGTAGGGATGTGCTCTTCTTCAGGGCTCACTGACAGAGGAAAAGGATAGCAACTGATAACGCTGCACAGAAGCATTTGACTCCAGAGAAACACACTTGGCTTTGAGCTTGTCCTGGTGTGCCTGTAATTCCCACCTGTGCAAGAGCAGAGCCAGGCATTTTCAGTTCCCTGTGCAAGTCAGCGGCAATGTGAAGCTCCACCTCATATCTGTCTTGATCCATGTGGCTCCTTGCGGGTGGCAGGCAGGATAAGGTGATGGAGTTACTGCCGTGGTGCCAGACAGACAATGGACTGCTATGACATCAGTGAACAGCCTGGGGGCTTCAAGCTGAAATAGATTTAGAAAACAAGGGAGGAAATGCTAAGGAATATATCACAGGATCACAAATAAAAAATATCTCAAAATCTTGTGTATATTGAGTGTACTTTAATTTAATTCATTGAAAGCAGTTTGCATATTGAAAGAATAAGTAATTCCTACTTTCTCTTGTTCCTTTCCACTTTCTCATTTCCAAAGCAATACAGAGCCTCTAGTTTGTCTCTCTTCTCGCCCAAAGGTGAGCAAAGAGTCAGGATCTGATTTGGGATACAGTTCTGTACATCCTTTTTTCAATCACTTTTTTTTTTTTTATTTTATTTTTAATGACTCTAGCTATGTTTTGAATTTGTCTCCAGAGACTGAATGGTTCTGTTTCTTTTTAATAGATGTGATTGAACAGATTCTGGTTTATTCTGCTGTTGGTAAATAGCTTCCTCACCAAAACGAAAATATTTATCCGGCTCCAAATATTTTTTTTTTCTAGAGGTTAACCAAAATGCCTTGCTCAGTGTCTTTCCCCATTTTTGTCCAGAGAAAACAGCTGTAACACTCCAGACAGCTCTAGCATATCAAATATGAATGAAAATTATATTTTTTATGCAATTACATGTTCCTGGCATTTTTATGTTCATTTGACATCTTGAAGTAAATGTTCCATTTGTCAGTGTATATTTCTACATAGCAACACATTGTGAATGAGAATGTTATTCCTTCTCTCAAGCACTGAAAATACATTGAGATTTCCAGGTTTATTTTTTCACTGAAAACTAAGTATGTTGGGATCTCTAGCTGAAAGCACTGTTGAAACACCCAGCTAGTATTTATGGTTATTTTATTGCTGTCTTAGGGCCAGGAGATACTGAACTAACTGTATCAAACTTCCTTCTTGATCTCCTTCCTTCACCCAATTACCCCGTAATTCCCTTAATCACTACTCAACCCTGAAAGCTGCCCCAAACCAGCCAAGTCTCCATGTGCTTTTAGTCTGGAAAGCAGCTGGCTGCCAACTCATACAAAACTCTAAGGTTATGTGGGTCTGGAAGGTGTGTCTGGAGATGATGAACACAAATGGATGCTACCAGCCTGGGCTGAATCTGCCTTTCATGCAGGGACTAGAGACTGGGTTCTGAATCGAGGATCTGCCACAGAGATACTGAGAGGAGCTGAACGTCTCTCCCACGTTTCAGCCTACCTGGTTATCACAGAGAGGTGCTTTCTACTGCTGGAGTCACTCTGTTGGCATGAAATGGTGATTTAGGAGGGCTGAGGGCTGTGCATGTGGCACCCTCATCCCAGTGCACAGGTGAATTCCCAGTGGGAAGCCTGAGCTGGGCGCTGCCATAGGTGTGCAAGGTTCCTGCTGCTGCTCCTTGGTTTGTGGGTGGTTTCTCTACCACCTCTCCCTCACTCTGAGCACTGCAGCGACAATCCCAGAGGGCTGGAACACCCATCGACCACTCACACTCCAACCGGGGGTGCAACCCTCACTGTGTTCTCTGCAAAGATCCAACCACACTAGTGGGCACAGAAAATAATAGAATATCCCGAAGTGGAAGAAACCCAAAAGGATCATCAAAATCCAACTCCTGCTCCTGCACAGGACAATCACAAGAATCCACCGTGTGCCTGAGAGTGTTGTCCAAATGCTTCTTGAACTTTGTCATGGTTGACACCTGATACCTCAGCACTTCCCTGGGGAGCCTGTTACAGTGCCCACCGCCATCGGGGTAAAGAACCCCTTCCTAATACCCAACCCAAGCGTCCCCTGACACAGCTACATGTCATTCCCTTAGGTCTCTTCAGGAGTCACCACAGAGATCAGATCAGTGTTTGCCCCTCTGCTTCCCCTCACAAGGAAGCTGCTGCAGAACGGCTGCGAGGTGTCCCCTCACTCTCGAGGCTGAAGAGAGCAAGTGCTGCTCCCTGCAAGAGCTTCGGCATCGCTGCTGCAGGCAGGGGCACGCTCTGCTTTTGGGTTTGCCGTGCCCCCGGTTTGCTACATTCTCCCAGAACGATCTTAGCCCACAGATTTTCCTGTGTACTTTTTGTAGGATGTACTTTGTGAGGGACACCCTTTTACCGGGCGGACGCGGTGATCCCGGCTCCGGGACTCTCGGCTGGAAGCCGGGGAGATCCGGAGGGCTCGGGGCGGAGGGAGGATGGGACGGAGCGGGTCGGTGTCGCCGACACCATCGGGAAGGGGTCGGTCCCGCTGGGGCGAGTTGGAGACTGGTGCGGCCTCTGCCGGGGAAGAGAGCCAGGCGGCGGGAGAGAAGGAGAAAGAGAGGGAGGGTGGGTGCCGGAGGCGACACCCGGAGCGGGATCTCCCTCCCTCTCTTGAGCCGTGCGCTGCGCTATGCTCGGTGCCCGCGGTGAGGCGGGAGCGGGCGTGGCGCCGGGGCCGAGCTCCGCAGCAGCCGGGGCTCCGCTCTCTCCCTCCCGCGGCGGCCGCGGGCCAGGAAGCGAGGCCGGAGCACCCCGCGCCCGGGGTGGGTTGGAAATTTACCGGGTCGGTCCTCAGCGAGGCTGCAGGCGA